TAATGACATTATTAATAAAGGCAACCCTAGGTAGCTGCAATCATAATATAACAATTTCACAATCAGTTTGAGGGAGAGAGAGAATTGTAGATCTAAGGTTTAAATTTAAGTGCAGTTATGGAGCAATGAAGACAGAGCTGGCTAAAGCTAACTGAAATGTTAGGTTAAGTGACAGTGGCAGGCATTTAAGGAGTATTTCAGAATACTCTGAAAAAATATACTTCAGTGAAGAAGAAAGATTCTAAGGGAAAGATCCACCATCTGTGGATAACTAAGGAAGTGAGAGAAATGCATTAAATCTGTAGTAGAGATACAAAAATGAAAGAAATAGCACATTTAACTCCAAAAGGATGTCAGAAGATGACAGGTCAGAAGATTGAACAGAATATAAAGGACAGCAAAGGATGACCAAAAGATTATTACGGAGGAAGAAATTAGAAAATGAGAAAAAGCTAGCTAGTACCAATTAGAGCATCTACAGGAAATTAAAAAGGAAATGGATAAGTGAATATTGCTTCTCCTGAGAAATAATCTGGGTAATTAATAATAGAAAATAAGGAAAAGGAGTATGAATTGAAAAGAGTAGATGCATAGAAACTTATAGGAGGAGTAGGCCATTTGGCCCATTGAGCATACTCTAGCATGCAAACGTAATCATGGCTGATTCTGTATCTCTCTCCCCCTTGACATTTGAGCATCTAGAAATCTATTTCTTTCTTTAATGTATTCAGTGACTTCCGTAGCCTTCAGTGGTCAAGATTCACCACCCTCTGACTGAATAAATTTCTCCTCATCTCAGTCCAAAATGACCTAGATATTTACTTAGGTAAGGAGACCAAAACTATTTAAAATACCCTACATGTGCCATGTACAGCTCCAGTTCCTAGCTTCTTTACTCAAATCATCTTGCAACAAAGGCCAACATACCTGATGCCTTTCTAACTGCTTGCAGCGTCTGCATGCTCACTTTCAGTGACTGGTACAAGGACCCCCAGACCTCTTTGGACATCAACATTTCCCAACCAATCACCATTTAAATACTCCTCTGCCAATCTATTTTTTCTATCAAAGTTGATAACTGCACACCTATCCACAATTGCCATGAACTTATCCACACTCTCAACTTGTCTAAATCACCATGAAGCCTCTTTACATCCTCCATACCACTCACAATACCACCTAGTTTTGAATTGTCAGCAAAGGTGAAGTATTATGCTTGATTCCCTCATTAACACTGACCACCAATATACACAATATTTAGCCACTCTTTTCACAGTAGAGGAGGAAACCAACATTCCAGAAATAATTGTGAATTAGAATGTGAAAGGGAGTGAGGAACTTAAACCATTACAAATCACTGGGGAAAGGGTGCTGAGAAAAATTTTAGCACTGAAATCTGACAAGTTCCCTGGCCCTGATGGACTTCATCCTGGTCGTTAGAAGAGATAGTACGTGTGGAGACAGTGGTATTAATTTTCCAGAAATCCCTAGATTCTGGAAATATCCCATTAGAAAATATCAAATGTGACTTTTCCATTCCAAAAAAAAAAGGAACAGAGAAACAGGTAACTATTGTCGAGTTATCCTAACATGTGTCATAGGGAAAATAATCCTTTATTCACTTACGGGATGAGAGTGTCACTGGCTAGGCCAGCGTTTATTGCTTATTTATTTTCCCAAAATCAGCAATGGATTTATGGTCATTAGATTCTTAATTCCAGATATTTGTTGAATTCAAATTCCACCGTTTGCTGTGGCAGGATTTGAACACGGGTTCCCAGAACGTTTTTGAGTCTCTGGATTAACAGTCCAGCGATAATACCACTAGGCCATCACCTCCCCTAATGCAATTATTCAGGATTCAGGATTGATTGGCTAACAAGAAGCAAAGGGTAGGCATAAAAAGGTAATTTTTGGGCTGGCATGATGTGACGAATGATGTGCCACAAAGATCATAGTTGGGTCCTCAATTCAAAATCTGTATAAACAATCTGAATGAAGGGACTGAATGTAGGAATTTCTGATGTCAACCTGCTCAGATATGCTATATCACATCTCAAGTGGGACTTGAACCTGGACCTCCTGGTTCAGAGATATGGATACTACCACTGCATCTCAAGAGCCCTGAGGACCAAATGTACGGTTGTCAGATTTACAATGACAAAGAGATAGGCAGGAACGCACATTGTAAAGAGGGCATAAACAGTCTGTACGAAGACATAGATAAGTCAAGTGAGTAGGCAGAACTTAATATTAAAAAGGATAATAATGTGGGAAAATGTGAACTTGTCCAGTTTTACAGGAGGCGGCACATTAGTTAAATAGGGAGAAATGGCAGTACTACAAGATATAGAGAGGGTGTCAGTGTCCTGACGCACAAGGTGTTCATACACAGGCACAGCAAGTAATTAGGAAGGTAAACAGATTGTTGTTGTTTATTTCAAGGGGAATGGAATATAAAAATAAGGATGTATTGCCACAATTGTACAGAATGTTGGTGAAGCCACACCTAGAGTACTGCATACAGTTTAGGTCTCCCCACTCAACAAAAGATGTAAACGCATAAGAAGCCGATCACAGGAGGCTAACTCAACTGACATCTCTGGGGGGAGTGGGTTGTTCAAAGGATGTTTTAAGCAACATTTTGAAGGAGGAACAGCAGATATGCATAGCCACAGGGCTTTAGGGAGGGAATTCTAGAATTTAGAGAAATGAAGTTACAGCCATCTATGATGGAGCAACTACAGTCAGGACCTGTCAAGAGGCTCGATTAGACTGGGTGGGTGGTGGTGGTGGAGAAGTAACTTTATTCAACAAAGGAACACGCGCTCCAAAATCTTCTGATTTCAAATAAACCTGGTGTCATGTGGCTTCCGAGTTAGTCCCCTGGCATTTCCACATCATAGGTCAGCAACAACAGAGGTGATGGATCAACTTAATTTAACATAGAGTCATACAGCATGGAAACAGACCCTTCGGTCTAACTAGTCCATGCTGACCATGTTCCCAAACTAAGCTAGTCCCACCTGCCTGCACTTAGCCCATATCCCTCCAAACCTTTCCTATTCATATACTTATCCAAATGTCTTTTAAAAGTTGTAACTGTACCTGCATCTACACTTCCTCTGGCAGTTCATTCCACACACTAACCACTCTCTGTAAACAAGCTGTCCCTTGTCCTTTTTAAAACTTTCTCCTCTTGCCTTAAAAATATACCCCCTAGTTTTGAACTCCCCCACCTTAGGAAAGAGACCTTTGCATTCGCCTTATCTATGGCTCTCACGATTTTATACAGCTCTGTAAGGTTACCCTCAACCTCCTATGCTCCAGTGAAAAATGTCCCAGCCTATGCAGCCTATTTTTATATCTCAAACCCTCCATTCCCAGCAACATCCTGGTAAATCCTTTTTGAACCCTTTCCAGTTTAATAATATCCTTCCTATAACAGGGTAACCAGAACTGTACAGAGTACAGGCCTCACCAACCAATGTCCTGTACAACTTCAACATGGTATCCCAACTCCCATACTCAAAGGTCTGAGCAATGAGGCAAATGTGCTAAATGCCTTCTTAACAATTGTCTACCTATGAGGCAAATTTCCAAGAACTACGTACCTGAACCCCTAGGTCTCTCTCTCTCTACAATACTGCCCAGGGCCCTGTCCGTCTTTGTGACTACAAAACAAAGCATAGCTCCTCTAGTCAGTTCTGTTGAGCAATGTCTGCTGTGATCTCATGAAACAAATTAACAGAATTAAAGAAATTTGTGACAATATATTGACTAACAAACACAGCAAAAAGAATATTTTTCGAGCTGCATCTTCTTCAGCCCCATGAAATTTAATATTAAAAACAGTATTGAAAAACCAGAATATAGTATCCCTCACACAAATTTTATGATGACTATTTTTGAAGAGTGCTGTTCTATTTCTACATTACCATGGTTCAAGCACTTTGGCATTAAGAAGCTTTTCTTTTCTTTCCTCCTATTATGAAGATCTGAAGTTTCATTCAATTTATTTTGCTCCATTATTCTAACTAGTGCAAAGTTCAAATGCTCAATGGACTAAATATATTCAAGTTGGACACCATTCAAAAATAAAGTCTCCATTTGGGACAACATGGAGAAAGCAATTTAAAGAGTGCTAACTGATCTCCTGTGGTATACCTCACAACAGTCTGGAATAAGTGCCAATTATTATTAGTTCCAATGAATAAACCAAAATCTGTTTTCTGATATCTATCTGGGATTATTAATAATATTTTGGTGAAAGACAGTCCTCTGGATTTAATAGCACTGGAAACATTTCACCTGGAATTTGGCACCACTGGAAGGTTGGTGACCTTAGGGTGATTATCTGGAGCTGCTATTAAATGTCACAGAAGGCTGCACTATATAACGTAAGTCACTTCCATTGTATTAGGAACACTTCTACTCTATCATTTCAATAATTACCTTTCATCTTTCCAAAGAAAAAGAATATTGGCAAAGCTGAATCTACAATATATTCAGAGTGTTACATCTGCACACATTTCCTGTCACGCTTTCCTCATTATAGCTATGAAAACCTGGAATACTAAGTTCACCCTCCAATTGATATTGGTATTGTTGTATCTCTATTTTGCATCTTTGGCTCATTCAACCTAAACTGCAGAGAATCTTCCATTTCTAACCTACTCCACTACTGTGCTTTCCAAATTGCTCTAAGTTTTGATTTTCAACAAAAGCTTTTGACACTTTTCATAAAACAACTTGATTTTCTCAGGATAGAAGACAAAATTTTAAAATGAAAAGTGAACAACGCCTGCTCACTCCAGCCCAAATATCCACAGCCTCTAATCTCACTTCATCTGGTCAGACAGCACAATAGAAGATCAGCTAATGCACTATAATTATATTTGAAATGTATGAGAAAAACATACGTCAGTCAAATCAACAGCAGCCATAAATTAAATGGCAGCTAACATGCCAGGGTGCAGACAATTACAATCGAGACTTACCAACATCTCCATATACATAAAGGCCTTTTGGAGGTATAGATCTTTCAAAAAACTGCAAACACAACACAAGGAACAGACATTTTCAGTGGTTGTTAAGCAAAATGAAAAGCACTGTACTTTTTTAAACTTTTTAAATGTTATTCTGCTCTCAGTTGATTGCCCGATGATGGAGATAACCACCGAAGTAAGGAAATACAACCATGACAGGAGCACATATAGAATGGATGCTCATAGTAAAGATAAGGCTGGTACAAAACTGCAAGACGAGCCCCCAACGCACATATAATGAAGGACCCTGCAACTGGGGCAGGAATGGGACCAAACCGGGGTGGGGGGTGGTTGTGGGTCCAGTGCTCAAGCAAGTGGGACAGACAGGCTAGTGAAAGAGTCAGGGGACAGAAATGAGTGACAAAGGTTGTGCAGAATGGAACCATGAGAAGAGAGGAGAGGTGAGGGAGCAGAGAGGGGAGGAGAGGGGGTTGCAAGAGAGGACGAGGGGGGGAAAGAGAGGACAAAGGTGGGAAAGAGAGGACGAGGGGGGGAAAGAGGGGGGGGGGGGGGGGGGGGGAACAGGTGGGAAAAGAGAGAGGAGGGGGGGAAAGAGAGAGGAGGGGACGGAGAGTAGGATGGAGAGGGGAGGGGTGAGAGGGAGGTGGGTGGAGAGAGGGAGGGGGAGAGAAGAGAGAGAAGAGAAGAGAGAGAGAAAAGGAGAGGAGAGAAAACAGAAGAGAAGAGAAAAGAGAAGAGAAGGGAGAGAGGCAGGGGAGAGAGGCAGGGGAGACAGCAAAAGCACGAGAGCAAAAGCACGAGAGCAAGACACAGACAGACAGAGAAAATCAAGCAGATAAATAGCCAGGTCTGGATGAAATGTATTCCAGAGTGAGTGAGGCAAAGGAGAAAATAACAGCGGTTCTTGCAATAATTTTCAATTCCTCTCTCATCACCAGAGAGGTGTCAGAGGACTGGAGGACAGCCAATATTGTATCATGTTCAAGCATAGAGCAAGGGATAAATCAGAAAATTACAGGATATTCAGTGTAACCAAGTTGCTGGGGAAACTATTGGAAGCAATTCTGGAGGGACAGAATTAATCAGAATTTGGACAGGCAGGGATTAATCAAGAACAGTCAGCATGGTTTTGTTAAGGGTAGGTTACGTCTGACCGACTTTGTTGAATTTTTCGACGAGGTGACCAGATGTGTAGAAGAAGTCTACTCAGACCTCAGAATTGCTTTTTGTAAGGTCCCACATGGGACACTGATAACAAAGGTAAGAGCCCATGGGATCCAAGGAAATTTGGCAAATCAAATCCACAATTGGCTGAGTGGGAGGAAATAAAGGACGAAGTTTGAGAGGTGCTTTTCCGACTAGAAGTCGATGTCCAGTAGAGTTTTCACAGTGGTTAGTGTTGGGGTCCTTGCTGATTGTGCTTCATGTAAATCATTTAGACTTGAATGTAGAAGGCTTTAATCAGTAAATTTACAAACGATTCAAAAATTGGTGGGGTGGCAAATAGTGAGGAGGGTAGCCTTAGATTACTAGAGGATTATAGATAGGGTGGTCAGATAGGATGACCAGTAGCAAATGAACTCAATCCAGATAAATGTGCAGTGATGTATTTGGGCAAGAGAAACAAGGTAAGGGAATACATGATGAACGGTAGGGTCCTGGGAAGTACTGAGGATCAGGGGGACCTTGGTGTGCATGTACAACAGACCCTTAAGGTATCAGGACATGTGGATAAAGTCATTGAAAAGACATATGGGATACTTGCCTTTATTAGTCAGAATTTAAGAGCAGGGCGGTTATGCTGGAACTGTACAAAATATTGACCAGGCCACAGTGAGAGTATTCTGTGCAGTTCTGGAATCCATATTATAGGAGCGATGTGACAGCACTGGGAAGGTTGCAGAGGAGATTTACCAGGATGTTGTCTGGGCTGGAGAATTTCAGTTAAGAAGAGAGATTGGAGAGATTGGGGTTGTTTTCTTTGGAACAGAGGAGATTGTATGGAGATGGAAAAATTATAAAGGGGCATAGATAGGGTTGATAGGAAGAAACTTTTCCCCTTGATGGAGGGAACAATGACTGGGATGGGGAGCAGAGAAACAAGTTAAGATGCAAAAAGCTTAGAAGAGATGTGACACTGCTTATAAAGGTGGAAGAGACAAAAATCCTCATAAAATTCAAGTAGTATTTAGATATGCACATGCAGTGCCAATGCATACAGTGCCATCAGGCAAGTGCTGGAAAATGGGATTAAGATAGTTACGTAGTTGCTTTTGACTGGAACAGATGCAAACAGATGACAAGAGAGGAGAGACTGTTATTTTGGGGGTGCAGGGGGCAAGAGAGAGAGAGAGAGCGAAAGAGAGAGACAGAGGGAAAGGGGGAATGGGGGAGAGAGAGAGAGGTGGGGGCGGGAAGAGCAAGGGAGAGAGAGCAAGCAAGAGCGAGAGAGAGACTTGGAACTTAAATGAAACTCATGTTGAAACAAATTTAGGGCGGCACGGTGGCTTAGTGGTTAGCACTGCCTGCCAGTGCCAGGAACCTGGTTCGATTCCACTCTCAGGCGACTGTCTGTGTCGAATTTGCACATTCTCCCGTGTCTGCGTGGGTTTCCTCCGGGTGCTCCAGTTTCCTCCCACATTCCAAAGATGTGCAGGCTAGGTGGATTGGCCACGCTAAATTGTCAGTAGTGTTCAGGGATGTGTAGATTAGGTGGGTTATAGGGGGATGGGTCTGGATGGGATGTTCTGATGGTCGGTGTGGATTTGTTGGGCCGAAAGGACCTGTTTCCACACTGTAGGGATTCTATGATTCTCTTTGGAAATACTCCAAATGGATTTTATAGGTCATGTATTAATTTTCTTGACATTCAAACAAATGAAAACAGGAGACTACAGACAGATATTTTCTGCCTTGGGCGTTAATGACTTGTGTAATTTGCAGAGCTCCACAGTAGTCACAAAAATTCTAAACACTTTTTGTGTTATAATGCTCTCCAATGACATCAAGTTCCAGAGACAGGTCAAAAGTGGTTGATAACATTAAGGCAGATCAGTTTGAGTGTCAATTGGCTTTTACTTTTGATACCAGTGAAGTACAATGAAGCTGGATAATTTGACATAAATTAGTTAATACCATATAAAGAGAGCTGTAAGCAGTACATGAGTAATCAAATTAAACAATTACTTTGCGCACGGAAAAAATGTTCCAACAACAGTAATTTATAACCAAATAACACCATCAGTGCAGAAAAGTGTTCAAAGGTGCCACACGGGAGCCTTATTAAATAAAATTAGACACCAGATCACATAAACAGCCATAAGGCAGATGACCAAAAACTTGGTGAAATAGCAACGTTTTTACACAGAGCATCATAAGACAAAAAAGGTAAGATGGAGAAATGAAGGGTTCATGAGGGGGTTGCACAGATTGGATCTCAGCAGCTAATAAAAGCATGGCCAACAGCAGAGTTATTTTAAAATATCCTGGATAGACAGATGTACCAAAATTAGAGCAATATTAACATTTTCAGGAACATATGGTTGTGGAGGTTACGAAAATAGGGACAAGTGAGGCATTTGACGGATTTGAAAACAAGAAATAAAATTTTAAGATTTACGTGTTGCTAAACCCCAAGCAAACATCAGTCAAACAGCCCAGTGGTGATGGGTAAATGGGACTTGGTATGCGTTGAGACACTGGAAGCAGAGTACTGAAGGACCTTAGGTGAGCTGAAAACAGTATATGGGAGCAATATGTTAGGGTAGTCAAGTCATAGAGTTGTATAGCACGGAAACAGGCCCTTCAGTCCAATTAGCCCATGCCAACCAATATCTTAAGTTAATCCAGTCCCATTTGCCAGAATTTGGTCCATATCCCCCTAAACCCTTCCTATTCATGTACCCATGTAAATGTCTTTTAAATGATGTAATTGTACCAGCCTCCTCCACTTCCTCCGGCAGCTCATCCCATACATGCACCACCCTCTGCTTGAAAGGTTACTCCTCAAGTCCCTTTTAAATCTTTTCCCTCTCACGCTAAACCCATGCCCTCTAGTTTTGGACTCCCTCACTCTAGGAAAAAGACCTTAGCTATTCATCCTACTCATGCCCCGCGATTTTATAAACTTCTACAAGGTCACCCCTCAGCTTCCGATGCTCCAGGGAAAAAGGCCCCAAATTATTCAGCCTCTCCCTATAGCTCAAACACTCCGAACCCGGCAATATCCTTGTAAATCTTCTCTGCATCCTTTCAAGTTTGACAACAGCTTTCCTACAGCAGAGAGACCAGAATTGCATGCGCTGTTCCAATAGTGGCCTAACCAATGTCCTGTACAGCCGCAACATGACCTCCCAACTCATATACTCAATGCACTGACCAATGAAGGCAAGTTTACCAAACGTCTTCTTCACCATCCTGTCTACCTGCGACTTCACTTTCAAGGAACTATATACCTGCACTCCTAAGTCTCCTTGTTTGGCAACACTGCCCAGGGCCCTGCCATTAACTATGTAAGTCCTGCCCTGGTTTGGCTCACCAAAATGCAACACCCAACATTTACCTAAATTAAACTCCATCTGCCAGTCCTTCACCCACTGGCCATCTGATCAAGGTCCTGTTGTACTCTGAGACAATCCTCTTCACTATCGACTACACCATCTATTTTGGTGTCATCTACAAACTTACTAATCATGTCTCTTATATTCATATCCAAATCATTTCATAGAATCCCTACAGTGTGGAAACAGGCCATTCAGCCCATTGAGTCTACGCCAAACCTCTGAAAAGCATCCCACAAAAGACACCCCAACCCTATCCCTGTAACCCTGCATTCCCCTTGGCTAATCCACCTAGCCTACATATCCCTGGACATTGCAGGGCAATTTAGCATGGCCAACCCGCCTGACCTGCACATCTTTGGACTGTGCGAGGAAACTAGAATACCTGGAGGAAACCCACGCAGATATGGGGAGAACGTGCAAACTCCAAACAGACAGTCACCCCAGGGTGGAATCGAACCCAAGTCCCTGGCACTCTGAGGCA